AAAAAAAATGAGCAGGGCGGGTCGGCCCGCCCCGACACGGGCCAGGTCTCGGGCCCATCTTGGTGGACCCGTAGCGGGTCACGGGCCAGGTCGGGCCATGGCCATAAGGTCGCGGGCCAGGTCCGGGCACGGTACTACTCGGCCCGACCTGGCCCATTGCCATCCCTACCCACAATAGATCTCACATCATGCATCGTATGTTCTGCTGGCTTCTTTACTGGCCATGCATACAATTTTGTGATTAGACATAAAAAATTTAATTTTTAACTGTACAATCAATATTTAGTTTATTGAATTTTTTATTTTTTTTGTGCAAAACACCATTCATTTGTTCTCATTTTTTTTGTATCTATAATTCCACTAAAACAATTTACAAATAAAAAATAATTATTATTATATATTTTTCAAATAAAAAACAATATTCATTCCATCATATATTTTTTGTTACAAATTTTATCAGTTTATAATTATTCTTTCAACATCACATATGTAATCACTACATTTTTAAGTGATTAATTACTTTTTTTTTTTTTTNGAAAACATTAAACCAAACTTGTAACTTATTATGTCTAGCAAGATCTATACCTTATCCCACAAAACTGGAAAAAGGCCAAAAGACTTTGTCTCAAACCATTTTAAGATTCTTTCTATAAAGTAACTACAATTTTCTTCAGGAACATGGCCATTGGCCTGATCATGATTCATGAAGTACACACAATCAAAATCAAGCTCTACAAAATGGGTTAATGATTGTGCCAACTCAATGTACAAACGAAATAGCTAAGAGTACATATATTAAATGTGCCATTTATTACCTTATGAACCCTACATCACTTCTATCAGTTTCCTGAATAACGACCCTACTTGAATATAGCACCAACTAGTCAGCCCAATTCACATAAAATATACTATAATATAAAAGATTAATATATTAGAGTGTACATAAATGATTTACTTTCATTTTTTTTTTCTTGGAAAATCATGTGGGTTTTTACTTTTAGCAAGTCCAAATGGAATATATGTTTGCATTAAATTGTAAGGGCCGTTTGAGTGTCACACAAACATTTAATACTAACCCATTTAACCGTTAGAAGTCCAAGTTGAGAATGGGAAATTTCACCCGTAATAATTTCTAACTAGTATTCGACCTGTGCATTTGCACAGATATAAATAAATTATTGTGAGTCTGTATGCATATAATGATTAATTATTTTCCTTTCATTTTTTTGCAGACCAAATTTACAATTAAAAGAGTTGGAATTTTTTTTTTAAATTGTATTTATCTGATTGTATGTAATGTATATTTTGGTACGTCTTTTATTTGTGAATTATTTATTATTTATTTAAGAATTTCAAATATATTTTTTATGTTCAAAAAAAAAAATGTAACAACAATAATAACATCTAATTACATTATACGGTCAACACATTATATGGTCAACTGTCATTAATCAAAAGTTTAAAATGATTTTTCTAATTTTGAAGTGATGAGTATTAATTATTTAATAATTAAATGAAAGATTAAATACATCAAAATGTAACGGTTTTTGGAGGGAAAATTGTTAAATTGCCACATAGGTAAAATTAAATAGGTTTTATTAAATGTTATTAGCTAGTAATTATATATATATAGATTTGATTATTTCATAAGTATCAATGTGAAACAAATAGTTGAATAAAAAAAGTCTAAGAGGATGCTTGGATATAAAAATTTTTGGATTTATTTGGATTTTATTGGTTTGGTTTGGTTAATTTTGAAAAAGGTGGTATGGTTAGTTGTTAGTGGTATATTAAAATAATATTAAAAATAAAATAATTAAAATTGATTTAATGTAAAAGTATGAGAGAAATGATTTGAAGTGATGGTTAGTTAAAATTATGTGAGAGGATGAATAGTGAATTAAGGTTGATGTGATGTGTAAGAATGATTGGTTTATATTATTTAATTATATTAATAATATTAATATTAGTTGGGTTGAGTTAAAGTTGAGTTAAAAAAAGTGGTTGAATTAAAAGTGTTTGGATTTTTTGGATAAATTTTGTATCCAAGCATCCTCTTAGGTTCGAAGAAACTCAAGATACAATTTTTTTTTTAAATAGATTATTATAAAATTAGTTGTTTTATGCAAATCAAACAATTAAGTATTTACTAAATACTCTTTATAGTCAAAATTGTTAATTCAATTAACTGTCCGTTAATTTAATAAGCTATCGATTTGTGTGATCAACTAATTCATTTAGCTATGTACAATAAACAATCATATAATATTGATATATTTTAAAAACTACAAATACACACAAATCATTGTTCTTGTACCATTTTAAACGTTCTTGTTTAATATTGAGTATAGTATACTCAGGAAAAGTGAAAAGGATAATTTCAAATGTGTTTATTCAGAGTTCTTGAGCTTGTCGATGGATACAATAGCACCGTGTTTGGCTTCTCAGGTAACTCTTCGATCTGTAAAGCTTAATCTTTTCAACTCAATATTTGCTATCCAATTTCTCTTGTTTTTTTTTTTCCCGGGTTTTCATTTGATTTGCTGGGTCAATGTCTGCTGTTTCTGAAAGGCCTTGTGCGTTCTAGGGTTTGGTAAAAGCGTGGATCTTTATGCAATCTCGTCGAGCTTTTTCTTTTTTTCGTGTTAAATCTCGAGGAGAAAGTTGCGGTTCCTAATATATGTTCGTGAATGTTGATGTAATTTCGTGTTGGGATTCATGTAAATGGCATATTTTTATATATGTTATCTCTGAATCTGCTTTACCTCTGTTTTTACATGTGTAGCTTTCATTTTGAAATTTCAACTTTTCCTTATCTTATTTGCATTTGGGTTGTGTGGCTACGCCTGAAATGAATAATCTTTTTTTTTTTTCCATTTATTTTGGGTGTTGGAGCTAAAGGATGACGTACTGTATCGATTTCTTATTCTGGTATATGGTAATAAGCTAGAGTTAGAAGTGTTGGTTTAGAGTAATATCTGTAATATAACGATGGGTTTCTTGATCTCTCTGCCTCTCTCAATTTTCAGGTCTAGTTGAGCGGTGTTTCTGATACTTGTTCGTTTGCATTGCTTAGAGTGTTTTGCTACAGATGGCCGAGTCAGGTCAAGTAGATGTTATATTGGATTATCTTAAAAGGAACAAATTTACTAAAGCCGAGGCTGCTTTACTGACCGAACTAGGTAGCAGACCCGATTTAAATGGGATTCTTCAAAAGCTTACTCTGGATGATAAGGGTACAGGTAATAAGCCCAATGTAGAAGTAAATGGGAATATTATAGCTGAAGACAATAAAAAGATAAGAAGCACCGGGTCCACGGAGGAAAATCTGCAAGACACGTCATCGTCAAGTGCTGCTGAGTCATCTAAGGAGCTAATAGTGAAAGAGGTAGAGTGCGGTACGGGTGATAAGAACTTCACCTTCTCCAAGAGTTCGGATGATAAAGTGCTCGATTCGAGTTCATGGAAATATAGTACGAGTAACGGGTCAATGGCTTTTAACCACAACGATGAAAGTAATTTTCTGAGATTCCAGGTCTCCCGGAAAGCAAAGTTAATTGCAACCGAGACTCCTGGTAGTGGTCAGGTTAATCTTAAACAGGAGGCTAGTGTTTCTGGTGAAAATAAAACGAATTGGCCTGGGACTGTTAGTAATGCCGGTGTGGAGCTGAAGCTTGATAAGGGAGTCAATTTACAGAAGAACCCGAGCAGCATGAGTTCTAAGGATGAGCTCTGGAAAGATTGTTCTGTTAAAACTATTTTCCCCTTCTCCAGGGAAGACACTTCTACCAGTTGTGATAGTGCTGCTGCTGTTGTCAATAAAAAAGATGGGAAAAAGAAAGCGGAATTCAATGAGATTAGGGCAGCAATAAAGGAGCAAGTGGATGAGGTCGGGAGAGCTCTTTTATTTGGTAAGACTCAGTCAGGTGAGCCGAAGGATTTTGGCGCGTTGGATTTTCACCATGCAACTGAGAACCAGAAAGAAGAGCTGCCAAGACTGCCACCTGTCAGGCTTAAGTCAGAAGACAAGTCCTTTAATATTCACCGGGAGGAAAAATATGAGCGTGATGGACCTGGTCCAAAGATCTTAAATGCTGACAACTCGTATCTTATTGGGTCGTTTCTGGATGTACCTATTGGTCAAGAAATCACTCCATCAGGTTCTCATGAAAACATAAATTGTGTGACATGTATTTTTTCCCCAAATTCTATGCAACCAATGCAGAATGATTATGCATTTCGTTTTCATACTGATTTTTTTTTTTAATGTAAACTGATTTCGCAAGTTATCATTGAAATACCAAATTGTAGGAAATTTTCTGCCAAGTGGGTGATATTAATTGTACAGTTTACAAATCTGATGATGCAACTCTTGTAGGTTGTCATACTGTCATAAAGTCGGATTTTTGGGATCATGAAATTATTGGTTGTAGTTATATTTAAGGAACTATTTGAGCAGAGTTGGATTGCTAAGATCATTTAATAGCAATTCCCCTCTTATAAACTGGTTTACTAGGACCAGTTAGATTTCACTTCTCTCCCACGTGTCTGCTTGTGTTGGTCAGAAGGGAAATGATTATAGCATGAATAATTCAAGTAACTTCCTACTTATTCTACGATTTCAAATTTTCATTATAGTTATATGGCATTTTATACCTTAAACACCCATATGACTGAAGAGGTGGCATGTTGTCTTTCAATTGGACCAATATATTTAGAAATAAAATCTTTACATGATTTCATCATAATGTCTTGATATTTTGACTTTTCTTGCCTTGCACACACAAACAGTTTTATTTGATTGTTTTTTATCCTCGATTTTTTTGCTTATCCATATTCAAGTGGTGGTTATTCTTACAATGACGATTCTAGGGAAAAGACTAGGAGGAGGCAGCTGGCTCTCAGTAAGTCAGGGTATTGCCGAGGATACTTCTGATCTGGTTTCTGGTTTTGCAACTATAGGTGATGGCATGAGTGAATCCATTGATTACCCTAACGAGTACTGGGATTCGGACGAGTACGAAGATGACGATGATGTCGGCTACATGAGGCAACCTATCGAAGACGAGACCTGGTTTCTGGCCCACGAAGTCGATTATCCAAGTGACAACGAGAAGGGGACTGTGCAGGGGAGTGTTCCGGAAAGAGGACAGAGCAAAAACGATGAAGACGATCAGTCGTTCGCGGAAGAGGATTCTTACCTGTCGGGCGAACGGTATTTGCAGTCGAAAAATGTGGACACCGTTGTGCCTTCAGATGATGATCCCAGTTCTATTAACGAAGTCTACAGCAGAAAAAACGAGAACAATTTGACGATGGACAGATATGACGGGCAGCTGATGGATGAGGAGGAGCTGAATTTGATTCGTGCGGAGCCCGTCTGGCAGGGCTTTGTGACTCAGTCTAACGAACTCATATTGCTCGAGGATGGGAAAAATACGGCCGAACGCAGGAGGCCACATCCAGATGATTTTTGCACAGACGATAATCAGCATGGTTCGGTTAGATCCATTGGGGTCGGGATCAACAATGATCGGGAAAGTCTGGTCGGAGGTAGCAGTGATGGCGACAGAGAGTACTTTCACGATCACGACTTGGACAGGACGACCAAGAGAGATGGTAACAGGACAAAGAGACTTAATTCTGATAAGTATGTTATGAGTAGTGAGAAGGGTGAAATGTGTAGTCACTTGAAGAGTCATATTGATGGAGGGTTTTCATTTCCTCCGCCTAGAAATGGGCGATTGGCGCAAACGAGCTCAAATAAATCTCTGTGGTCGAATCAGGCAAACACCGGCTTCAGTGAGGAAGCTGATGATTGTGGCGTGTCGAATGATGACACGCTCGCATCATGGAGGCGCAAAAGCAATGAGTCCTCGCCGGTTAGGAGCTCGAGGGATGAGGACAATGCAAATGATGGGGAGTCGGCAAATTCCAGTCCCTCGTCCCTTTCAAATTATGGGTACATTGATAGGGAGGAGCATGTAAAGAAAGAAGGTGATGTGAAAACCGGGGAAGTGAGAGAAGAGGATCCTGTGGCGTCGTTGGAGGATGAGGAAGCAGCTGCCGTGCAAGAGCAAGTGAAGCAGATTAAGGCTCAGGAGGATGAGTTTGAGACCTTTGAGCTGAAGATTGTCCACAGGAAAAACAGGCATGTATCTTTTTATCTGCTCTTCTTTCATTTGCCCAATTTTTGTGGGTAAACATATATGACTAGTCTGCATACTTAGAACTAGCAATTGGAATTTATTCCGAAAAGCTGTTCTCTAGCATCAAAATAATGATATACTCTTAGATATGAAGTGGTGCTTATGAGATTGATAGTTTTTGCTATCTAGTGCTTCTTTCCATCTTACATTATACCTTTTCATGGGGCATATATTTGAGTCGAGAGAGTGTTAGGTCAGAGGGTTGTTGCATTTCTTTTACATGGTTTAAGAGCTTCATTTCAGGATTCAGTTTCCCGTTGGATTCATGAATTCTTTTATTAATTGCCGCTTTATCAGTTCTTTTCATTTGATAATTCTTGTGTTGTTGTGGGCACAAGTTTCTAATTGTACGCGTGTCTTGTTTAGGACTGGCTTTGAGGAGGACAAGAATTTTCACGTTGTTTTAAACTCGGTCATTGCTGGCCGCTATCATGTGACCGAGTATCTTGGGTCAGCTGCTTTTAGCAAGGCTATTCAGGCTCATGACTTGCACACTGGCATGGATGTCTGTGTAAAGATTATAAAGAACAACAAGGATTTTTTTGATCAGAGCCTTGACGAAATAAAGCTGCTCAAGTATGTGAACAAACACGATCCTGCTGACAAGTACCACCTTCTTCGGCTGTATGATTACTTCTATTACCGAGTAAGTTAAGCACTTTGCGTTCTGCGATCAGTGTATTCCAACCTTATAATTGTTATATCATGGTCTGATTTTCATCGTTGACATTAGGAGCATTTATTGATTGTATGTGAATTGCTCAAAGCAAACCTATACGAATTCCATAAATTCAATAGAGAATCTGGGGGAGAGGTCTACTTCACGATGCCTAGACTACAGGTTTGTGGTGCAGCTGTCATAATTATTCCTTCCTACTTATTACAGTGTTTGCTTGCTGACTGGGATTTTGATTCTGCAGTCAATCACGATTCAATGCTTGGAAGCCCTTCAATTCTTGCACAGCCTTGGGCTTATACATTGTGATCTGAAGCCAGAGAATATATTGGTGAAAAGTTACAGTAGATGTGAGGTGAAGGTTATTGATCTGGGAAGCAGTTGCTTTGAGACAGATCATCTTTGTTCGTACGTTCAGTCTCGATCATACCGTGCTCCTGAGGTTATATTAGGACTTCCATATGACAAAAAGATTGATATTTGGTCCCTCGGTTGCATATTGGCCGAACTTTGCACAGGCAATGTAAGTTCTGGCAGGCAATTCATATATTTTTCATCTTTTTCTTGGAACTCCTAATGAAGTAAAAGTGATGTTTATCTGAATATAGGTGCTCTTTCAAAATGATTCTCCAGCCACTTTACTTGCTCGGGTTATTGGAATAATAGGCTCAATCGAGCTGGACATGCTGGCGAAAGGAAGGGATACATACAAATATTTCACCAAAAATCACATGCTTTATGAAAGGAACCAGGTCACATACTCCTTTTTTGGTTCACCAAAAATCCCTATTTTACTGAAGAAACCCAACAAATTGAACTTTCATCATTAAGTCTTCATATTATATCCATTCACATTCCAAATTCATTCTTATTTTTCCAAATATTTTTCTCACATTTTCATTTTTTTCGTATGTTCATCAGGAATCAAACAGGCTTGAGTACTTGATACCTAAAAAGTCCTCCCTTAGACATCGTCTACCAATGGGAGACCAAGGTTTCATTGACTTTGTCGCTTATCTGCTGGAAGTCAACCCAAAGAGAAGGCCCTCAGCTTCAGAGGCTTTAAAACATCCGTGGTTACAATATCCTTACGAACCAATATCATCCTGAATACATCCCAACGATTTCTCGATAATTTTTTCAAAACTCGAGAGCTACCCTTTTGGTCAGGGAAGATTTCATTGAGCTCTGACCTCTGCCCTTTAACTTGCGAGTTGATTTTCCAACGGGTTTGTAGCTTTTCAAGTGCCTGCTGAAAAAAACAGACAATGACTGGTGATTGGAACTTTTGTCTTCAACCCTCTGCCAAGTTGTAATTTTTGTTATCACGAATGGGATGTAATCGTGCCAGCAATATGTATCTGTAGGATTTTCTCTTTGTTTTTGTTTTTTCATTGAAGTTGGTTTTGGTGGGAAGAAAGCCTCCACTCTTGTTGTTCATGATGGTGTGATTATTCTTTTTAGGTTACTTAGTTATAACAGGTTGTGCAGATTAGTTGCTTATCTAGTTTTGATTTGCTTGGGACTATTATTTGAACTGTATTGACTCAACCACTGATTCTGTCTTCTTTGAACCAGTTCATCATGCACAGTCCAGTTTGCTTGGAGATTTTGGACGGAAGAGACTTGTTTTGTTTTGGNATGTAACTGATATAAAATTTATTAACTTAACTAAATTATTATTATTATTATTATCATTATTCAGATGCTTAATATTTAACTCAGCAAATAAAAAAAATTAAGAAAAAGAATTGAATAAACACCTTTATATATCTAAATTCTTTGAGGAGACCCCAAATTTGAGAAAAGAAAAACAATTATTACCATCTATACTTATATTAAAAAGTATACCATTTACCAGATTTAGTATAAAGAAAAGTCAACAACATTTATTGCATTACTATTTCCGTATTATACAATCTATACTTATATAAAAGGAGATTCTATTTACTACATTTACTATCCAGAAAAGTCAACTACATTAAATGCCATTACTATTTTGGTATTATAATATTTTATTTATTTAATTGTTTTATTTATTTGTTTTATTTAAAAAGGTAAGTATAATAAAAAGATTTTAATAATAAAAAAAAATCAAATATCACATAAAAATGTACACTTTGACTTATTTGATTATATTTGGTATTTGATTATAACAAATATATTCTTATTTAGTATATACATTAAATACTTACTAAAGTATTTATTTGTTTTATTTGTCAAAGTTAAGTATAGATTTGTTTATATTATCAAATCATAAAAAAATATTAAATCCAAATTGTAAAAAAAAATCATATAATTTTATAACAATTCTACTACACTATTTAACAATATTTCTTTTTTATTACATCATAAAATAATAATTAAATATTACATGGTGAACAACAATAAGTAAAACTGTTACTTTCTCTTATATGAAGGGATAAATTTATATGCTAAATTAAATTTTTATTAGTATAAATGTTTTAGTGAGATAATATATTAATTATTTTACAAGATAGCCCTAACATGCTCATATTTAATGTTTTAAAAGATGTAGAAAAAAACTTATAATAACTCTGTTGTTTTTTAGACTTAAACGTTGATTAAAAGAGGTATAATTCCTAATTTTTCAGACTTAAAAGTTGATTAACACTATAGATTGAGAGTTTATATTTAGTAAAATTCCTAATTGTAATAAAAAAATTAATTTTTCTATATTTTAGAATATCTTTAAATTCATTATAAAAAAAAAAGAAAAAAAACTACAATGAAAAAGCAAGTCAGCTATATATCGATTTGTTGTACTCCTCAAATCACATTCACAATTTGGCTACAAGGAAAGGAAACTCATTGATTAAATATTATTTTGTCAGTAGTCTTAATGTACAAGAGACTTCAAGACTTCACTTGAATATTATAAAACTTTTATTGAACATTGTACAATTTTCTTACGTATTATAAACTTTTATTGAATATTGCATCTTATAATATAATATTCTCCAAACAAGTATATCTCGTGTTTCGCACGGGTCACGTACTATATATATCCCGTACATTTTTCTTTATTCATGTATATAATTATAAGCCTGGATAAATAGTCTTAAAATTGTGCACCCCGTGCATCGCACGGGCTCTGTACTAGTAAAATATGAATGGGTTCTAATGGTAGGCCCAAGTATGGATTTTAAGTAAAATTGGATCAAGAAATCTAGCTCTAAACCATGGCGGAAGAAGACCGACCCACCGAGACGACCTCGCTCTTCCCGGCTTACGTACACCGCCAACCGCCGCAAGCTCTCCCCGGGGACCCCAATAGAACCGCCGCGGCGCCTGAATGGCTTCAAAGCACCAGCTTCACCGCTGACCTCTCCGTCATAAACGACGCCGTCGCCAAGTACAATCTCCCGGATGTCGAACAGCAAGAAGAAGAAGAGGAAGATAAAGATGAAGAGCTTAATGCCGATAAACGGCCGCCGAAGTACGACATGGTGCCGTCTTCTTCGTCGGATGCAAGCGCTTCTTCTTCCGGCGAAGAGCGTCGGAAGAGGAAGAGAAAGAAGAAGAGGAGGGGAAAGGAAGAACCTAGTGGCTCGCGATCATCATACAGCTTTTCTGCAACTATCTCATCTTCTTCGAGAAAAACAGGTGTTGCGAAATGGGCTTCGCCTTTGTCTACTCCGAACGAGAAGGGCTATTACTTTGATTCTCGTGGGGATCGAGATAATTTGGCATTTGGTTGCATCTACAGGCGAGTTTAACTAATTTGTTACAAGATTTTTTTTTTCAATGCTTAATGTTTTGTTGGGAGCTTCACTGTTTGTCGAAGTTGATTTTGTGAATCACGCAAGTGGTGCTGCTTAATTGTAAAATGATTGTCTTGGTTGCTGCGTTGGGAAAGTTTATGTTGTTTTAAGTGAAATGTTGATATTTTCTGGAAAATTCAATGTCAAAATAAAAATCCCAAGTCATAAAAATCCATCCGGGTGGTTTATGTTATATCAAGATTCCTTAGCTTCAGTCAGATTTCTATCTTGCATTTGAAGATGCTGTAGTTTAGAACTTCAGATAATCAGTTGATCATTCAAGTGGACAGAGGTTTCTAAATGTGAAAATGGCCTTGTATTCATTGTGCTGTAACTTGAAGTTTGTGTACATGATGAACTTCAGGATGGATGTTGCACGATACAAGCTTTACGGTTCCGAGAAATTTTCAAACCTCAACCAGTTTCGGGGGAATAAGGGGGCCAGCCATTTGGAGGGGGATATTGATATAGACGCACTAGATACAAAACTTAGGTCCGGTGGTCGTTATTGGTCTGCAAAATATGCTGCTATTGAACGGCATAAGAACTTGAAACGAGTACGAGTTCTTGCTCCCATCAAGCCTGTGAGGAGTTCCGATGCTGAATACATTCCCTTACTTGCTGAGGATTCTGATAATGCTCCAGCTTCGAGTGAGAAAGTAGTTGAAGAGTCCTGGGAAGACGAAGTCCTGAGAAAAACAAAGGAGTTCAATAAATTGACCAGGGAACGTCCTCGTGATCAAAGTGTTTGGCTGGCATTTGCCGAGTTTCAAGACAAGGTAGCTGGTATGCAGCCTCATAAAGGTGCTCGTTTGCAGACGCTCGAGAAGAAGATCAGTATTCTGGAGAAGGCAACCGAGATTAATCCGGATAGTGAAGATTTGATTCTCTCTCTTATGAATGCTTATCGGAGGAGGGACAGTACTGATGTTATGATAAGGAGATGGGAGAAGATACTGACTTCCAATTCTGGGAGTTGCAAGCTGTGGAGGGAATTTTTGCAGGTTATTCAGGGTGAATTTTCCAGATTCAAAGTCTCTGAAATGAGGAAAATGTACGCAAATGCAATCCAAGCATTGGCTGGTGCTTGCATAAAGCAGCATAGGCAGGTTCTCATTTTCATAATCCATATTTTCTTCTGCAGCTTGTGCGATCTGTCTCGCTCTCTTTGTTTGTGTTCCTTATATTTAAGTACTCATGAAATATCTTAAAACTTGGATTTCTTCATATGTTGCTTCGAGCAATTAAATTTGCCTTTAACTTTCTGAACTCTGATCAAGACTCCTAAATGTTCTTGTGGATGCAGGCTCAACAATCTGGCAGTGCAGTTCCTGTTGATCAGGCAACTGTTCTATTAGAACTCGGTTTGGTTGATATTTTTCTCTCTCTTTGCCGCCTTGAGTGGCAAGCAGGTTTTCAAGAGTTGGCCACTGCCTTGTTTCAGGCAGAGATAGAATACAGTCTGTTTTGCCCTTTGGTTACTTCCGAGCAAAGCAAGCTAAGGCTGTTTGAGCACTTTTGGGGTAGTAATGGTGCCAGAATCGGAGAAGATGGAGCCCTTGGATGGTCAACATGGCTGGAGAAAGAGGAAGAAGAGAGGCAAAGGCTTATTAACGAGGAGACCTCGAGTACTGTTGATGAAGGTGGTTGGACAGGTTGGTTTGAACCCCCATCTAAAACCGAAGCAACTGAAATGCCAGAAGATACTGCTGTGAAAGATGTGGTTGGCGAGGAACTTGATGATGATGGGTCTGGCGCAAATGATGTTGAGGTGAAGGATGACATTGAATCTCTGCTTAAAGCACTAGGGATCGATGTTGCTGCTGAAGGTGATATCAAGATAAAAGATACAGAAACATGGAGTAAATGGTCAAAGGCAGAGATGGATAGAGACTTTGATCAGTGGATGCCTCTTCGTGCAAATACTGGTATGGCTTGTACATTTTTTTGGTCTGTTTTTCTTCTTTGTGAGATTTATTTTGCCTCATTTTGTGCTCTGTTTCATCTTCGAAGCTGACCTTTCTTGCCACTTGATTCAAAGAAGTTGGTTGTATTAAGAAAAATGACCTATATTTCAAATTTGGATACTATTTCAGATGTTTATTTGTGGTAACTGATTCTGAAAACTCTAGTAGTTGCTGAATGAGTTGGTAGTGTAATGTTAAGGTTTCTTGTTGCGTTTTCTTCACTTTCCTGTTCTACATGCCAAAGGGAACTTCTTACGCATGATATGTGTACTAGCACCTGACGGCTGTGTTATTGTTGTGATGGTATATTCACCTTACTGCAATTGATGTGTCCCCTTTTTGCTATAATAACATTACCTTGGCAAAACAGACCGGGTTTCTCAGGATGACGACACTGTGGCTGCAGAAGATGACGAGCATCTGTTGAGAGTAATTTTATATGAAGATGTGAGTGATTACCTGTTCTCACTGAATTCTGAGGAAGCTCGATTATCTCTGGTATCCCAGTTCACAGATTTCTATGAAGGGAGAATAGCTCAATGGTAGGTTTCATGACTTCATGAATCCTGCATTCTGCCATGTTCTTGTATACAAACATGATTTGTTATGGTAACCCGTTCTACATAAGCCTGCTTGTTCTTCTAAATTGTGTTCTCTCTTCTTTCACTTGGCGATATTAGATAGTCTTCCACTCTTAATTTCTTGAATATGATCAATATTTACAGGACCTGCACAAACAGTTCAAGTTGGGTCCAGAAGACACTTGGTTTAGACAGTCTTTCTTGTTCTCTTGTGGAGGACCTGAGAGAAATGCACGAATTTCTGACTAATAAGCTGGCAAATCCGCGAAGTGTGAGTTTGGAGCTTCTTTTAAACAACAGCTCAGATGACACAAATATGAAGAGCGGCATGATGAGATTTCTCCGGAATGCCATATTACTTTGCTTAAAAGCATTTCCACGAAATTACATCTTGGAGAGAGCTGCTCTTGTTGCTGAAGAGCTAACAAATACCAGGATGAATATTACAAGCTGTTCTGTGACCCCTTGCCGAACTTTGGCAAAGACACTTTTGAAAAATAATCGGCAGGTATGTATTATCTACCATCCGCCATTAATAACAGTGATCTGTCCATGTCGAATGTGGGATGTAAGAGAAATCCAAATCCTTTTTGTATTATAGTGTGCTGCCCGGTGTCCAGCAAAATATTTTTTGTGCTTCACATGGAAATTGTAGTATTTGATTGTTCATAACTTCATATAATCTCTTGATTAAAATCAACCAGAGTTCTTTTTCTATCACTTTACCCCTCGTATTAGTTATTATTTGATAGCTTGAGGCTGATGCATATTACTTCTTGTAGTGACTGCTCTGTGTTGAAGGTTGATATTCTTGGTGTTTGTCATCATTTTAGGATGTACTTCTATGTGGGATTTATGCTCAGAGAGAAGCATTCTTCGGGAATATTGATCATTCCAGGAAGGTTTTTGATATGGCCTTGTCATCTATTGATGGGCTTCCTCAGGTATGAATTATTGGTCTTGTTTACTGTTCGGGGGTGTCTTTTGCTTTAATATGGTATTATGGTTCAGTTCGACTTAATTATATGCTATTGATTTATTAATTATTTTTCTCTTTAGTGGCACATTGAGAAATGGTTATCTTTTTTACACATTTCTGTCTAATGTTTTTATTTTCTTTTAAGTTTAATCTTGTAAAGATATGCAAACTTTCAAATGTTTCCTGCAGCGTTGTCATTACATGCACGTTTGCACATCTCTCTTTTCCCTGACTTGATCGGGAAATTCTTTTGTTTGACAGAATAGAATAAATTAAAGCGATACTACTGCATTTGGTCGAGTATATATGCTGTTTGATTTTCTTCCATTTCTTCATTAAATCATCATATAACCTGGTCCGCTGAAAATTTTAAGCAGTGTAACAGACATTTATCTCCTTGCATGTTGTGACCATGCCTCGCCTTCTGTTTCGCAATGAACGTAATGAGTTTGTACTTCATTTTCAGGATGTCAGGCCAAATGTGTCTCTTTTATATTTCTGGTATGCAGAAGTGGAGCTTGCGAATAACTCCTCGGAAAATTCTGAATCCTCTGTACGTGCTATGCATATATTGTCTTGCTTCGGTAGTGGCTCAAGATACACTCCATTCAAAGGTCAACCGTCAAGTCTGCAAAAACTTAGAGCCCGTCAGGGGTTCAAAGATCGTATTAAAACTCTAAGCTCAATATGGGTACGTGGTGCAATTGATGATAGTTCGGCTGCTCTCATATGTTCGGCAGCATTATTCGAAGAGTTGACTCATGGATGGGCTTCCGCCTTGGAAATTCTGGAAACTTCTTTTACTATGGTGCTTCCAGGTGAATAAACTGTATTACATTTTAGATGAACTATTTGTTGCCTAACTAACGTGGGATTTATAATATTTCATTAACATTTAAAATTTTGAGATGTATTTCACCCCCAAGGCCTAAGGATCTTAGACATTGTACCTTGTAGTTTGCCTGCTTTGCCATTTTATTTTTACTTTTTATTAATAATACTTGTGCAGAGATGAGGCGGCAGAGTAGGCAACTTGAATTTTTATTCAGCTATTATGTGGGGTTGCTTTACAAAAATCGCGCGGAGCTCAAGATTACAAAAGTATGGGAAGTTGTTGTAAAAGGGTTGCAGATATATCCTTTCAATCCACAGTTGCACAAGGCTTTGGTTGAAATAAGCCATCTTCACACTTCGCCCAATAAACTGCGCTGGACTCTCGATGATCAGTATCAAAAGTAAACTATATTATCCTTTTTGTTTAACTTTTGCTTGCCATTTTTTTTGTTCGAAAGCTAATATTACAAAACTAGACAAGGACAATACGTTTGTGATATTTTACATATTAAAAGTGGAGATTTTTGGAGAATCTGTCTTGAAAGTGATTATATAATTTGCTCTGACTTCTTGCGGTTTTTTATCAGGAAACCATCTGTCATCACATTGCTGTACGCATTGACGTTTGAATTGAGCACCGGGGGATCACAGCACAGAATACGTGGGCTTTTCGAAAGGGCTTTAGAGGATGATAAATTTCACAAGTCGGTAATTCTTTGGCGTTGCTTCATCGAATTCGAGAGGAGTGTGGCTAGCAATATTACTGCAGCCAAAAGAGTGTTTTTTCGAGCAATACATGCGTGCCCATGGTAAGAAAACTTACCTTTTTTACTAGTTGTTTTTTTTTTTTAACTGATTTTTTATCTTACATGGAAATAGAAAGCGGATGTGGCCTCGTTTTTGGTGGGTATAAAAATTAGGTTTGGTTAGAAATGAAAAATACCCTCTTGAATCGGTTTGAATGCATGAAAACCACCAGAAATGTAAGGGAAAAAAAACCCACCCAATCCATATTTCCATTTCATAGCACTGCCCCAAATTTGCAGGTCTAAAAAGCTATGGCTGGATGGTTTTCTGAAGCTCGACTCTGTATTGACCGTGAAGGAGTTGTCAGATCTTCAAGAGGTCATGCGAGATAAGGAACTGAACCTGAGGACTGATATATACGAGATCTTATTACAGGATGAGATGGACACTTAAAACAAAATCGGTCTAAGAATGCCTGTGTTCGGTTGGGATTTTCGGGTTCAAAATTTACTGCTTGCCTTGTTGAGGCATTGTGGGAACCTTTCCGAATTCTGTTTACTATATGTAGGTGTACTCTGTAAACACAAAGCAATTAGAGAGTACAATACTGTTGTATTTCATGTCTGCATTTTTCTTGTTTTTCATATTTCATATTTTTTAGCTCTTTTTTCTAATACACCAATTTTCGTTCCTTCATCAGTACATAATATAAGCTGCATGTATGAGAATAATAAACTATGTTTCTTTTTTCATGTATGCATCATTCCATACATTAAGTGCATACAACATATACATACGGTTATCCCAGTTAGATTATCTGCATAAACAAGCTAAATTTGCAGTACAAACTATTGGAAATTTCCTGTTGCTTAAGTTCTGATGTTGTAAATGTTTGTCTGATTTCGAGGGATTAAGAATTCGAGGATCCAACTGATAAGAAATCTATGAATGGCCGAGCCTCCTTATAATTCTTTTGATTAATTTGAGCTGCTGCTTTTAACTGGTTCACTTCTTCTTCTTCTTCTTCTTCTTCTTCTAAATAGTTATCTTTCTTTGCTGCATTGTTGTTGTTGTCTATAACTTCACTTCTGTTGGAGTCCGCGTTCACTTGGAGAAAGTCGTAGAATTCGACTCCTTTGCTATTTCTTCCTGCATTAATATATTCGAAAATATTTGTGATCACATATAGTTATAGATGATTATAGTTTCAGATGACATTTATATAATGACTAAGGTGAAATGTATTTCCACGTTGTATTCGACTAGTAAGTGTCAATATAAAATGATACACTTATTAATTTCATTTCTGGTAAACTAATTAGTACACTAACAACTCAACAAATTAAATCGTCGAAAAATGTCAATCTGGCGATAGTGCACGGATTTTATTATCTCTTCGGAACACGAAATTGTCAAATGGAAGATTTCTGACTATTTTGTCAAGAGAGTATCAAAAAGTTTGTTGAATGCCAAATTAGTATATCCTTTAGTGAGTATTTATTTATTTTCTTAGGATTGATGTATGTTAACTGCACCATATGCATGTAGTTTATGAATTACTAGCCGAAATCAAATTTCCAATAAACCCTTTAATTTATTTACATCACAAGACAAGAATAATTAGGAAATAAGCATAAAAAGATCAAATGAGCATTTTCTTTCCATACCCCAATAGGTGATGAACAGATCAGTTCATTAATTATTCAACACCACACAAGAAAAGGTCAACACAATCATCAACTAGTTAGCTTCCATTAATTTCATGAAATTAAATTCCAAAATGCATGCAAAAAGAAAAAAAAAATACTATTACCTTCAAGATCGATTTTCGCACGACAAGCTCCCGGTTCACACGCAGGCTGAAAAAGCTCGTTCTTCCAAAATGCTTTCATTTGATTGTTGAATAACAATCCCCGGGAAACTTTAAATTCCTCCGCGTGACTCGAATTTTTCCCTCCGCAAACCCCAAACAACATCTCGTCGTACATTTGCTTTGAAGAGGATGACGACGAATAATATTCTTGATGGTTTATACTATGAACTCGAGAAGCCCTTTTGGCGTACATTTTGGACCTTTCTCGACATTTTCTGGCCATGATGACGTGCCAATGGTTCTTGACGGCATTATCTGTTCTTCCGGGGAAAAGTCGAGCTATTATGGCCCACCGGTTGCCATGAATCCGGTGGCAAGCCAGGAGGCGTTCTTCCTCCTCCTCGGTAAATGGGCTGCGATTGATCCTCGGGTCCAATTGATTGAACCATCTTAGCCTACAGCTTTTTCCTGATTAAGATATGTGACCACAAATAGTTCAACTATTAGACAATAATTTATTGTTACCTTTTATTACAACAGTATACTCATTAATTAATGGTATTTTGTTTAGAATATTATTGTAATTTATTTTATTACAACATAGCTAGGGTTTGTGTAGTAATATTATAATTACAAAATTTACTTCAATAATGAAGTTGCACCAAACAAATTAAACTATCTACCTTTTGGTACCAAGTAACATACATAATACTATGGTTAGAGGTATACATGTACTTTACATATACATGAGATAATTTACATTAGTTATTGACCTACATATATACATATGAGGAGAAACTTATTTTAAGGTTAGCATATATGATCATATAAATATATGAAACCCTAAAACCGTGCAAGTGACATAAGTTTCTTCACCATCCCCTTAATATAATTATATCATCATATAGGAGAGTATATGTGTTTCCTACATCTCTTTGCATAAGCACATACATATATACTAGTGTGTTTGTATCGAAAAGGAGTTTATTCGGATCAAATCCAAAATACTTGGAGAGTTTCAACAACATATACTTAAACCAATATATAAATTCGTAGAGATTAAGAGAATACATATATATATTATGCGTTGTCTTCACCTGATCTACCGTGTAGCTTCTCGGCTATGGCGTTCCAATTATGAGGTCCGTATCTTTCCACTAATTCACGAAGCTTCTCATCCTCCGCCGGCCTCCAATGGCCTCTACTGCACATCATCTCTGCTCACTTCACCTATATATATACAAACACGACGTCTCTTTATGTTTATATATATATGCAATTCAGCTCGATCGACACACCAAACCCTAAATCCAAGAATCTCCCACTCAATCTGATAAAGAAACAATCAAGATTCAAAAGGGGTTTTACAGCTAGCAAAAGAAAGAAACTTAGCTTGCTATACAGAAAAAAAGGTAAAAACTTGAAAAATCAAAGGAGAAAAGTAAGTAAAAAAGAAAGTTTCCAATATGGTTTGCTATAGAGAAGAAGATGATCTTGAAAAGAGGAGCGTACAACTAGAAATCAACCACATATATACATATACACATACACACATATATAACTATATAGAGAGAGGAGAGAGGAGAAAGTTAAAGAAAAAAAAGGGTTAGATAAACAAGTGTTTTCCGTTAGAGAGTGGGAGAGATTTTGACAGAGCAGCACCACCCATTGATGCAACATCTAGGCTAACAAACCCACTTATTCATCAAATTAATATTATCATTATACCTTTTCTTCACAACCTACTGTGTGTCTGTGTGCTCTTGTAGGTGTATATATATACACACCTTAACAATACGTATACATACAGTGTATCTATCTCTTTTTATCTATCTCTCTATGTAGAGATGATTAATTGCAGAGAGAGAGAGAGAATTTTTAAGGACAGGAAGGAAAATTAAGGTTGCTTGGTGGGGTTAAATGTCGTTCTCCTTTCAACATCTACACAAAAAAAATTCTAACCTACAATACCCACCAAAGCTCTTTTGTCTTAATCTTTAATTATTATTATTATTATTTTTATCTTCTCCTAATTAACTCTGCATGCAACACATAAAGAATGGGTATATAAATTAATTAAAATATGGGATGATTAATTGAAGTGTTTAGACTTAGTTACGTACGATGTGTACATTTGTCCAGTAACTTCGATTTTATTCCAACCTAAATCTGAAATCCTAAATTAATGTTTTTGCACGCATGGAATTAAGGCTTTTTTTTTTGTGTGTGTGTGTGTGCATTGATTATAATTAAAAGTAGTTTGGTATTGTTGATTTGTTGTTAGAGCTTAATTAGTTATGCTGAAGGGATACGTAATTAGGTTTTTGGATTAGGTCTTGATCAGCTTTCTCATGGCCTAACTCAAGAAAACTAGTGCGCAATATTATCCCGAAAATTGTTATTAGTGATTATATTTTATATGTATAAGACATTTATTTGATTTCTATTTTATATGAGTTAATCTAGCAACATTAGTTTACCAACTAAGTTGTTGATTATATATGTGCTGACAACATATAGATGGTGATTTTGGTAAAAATTAAAAAAATACTAATAAATTTTTGTCATATGTATTTTTGGTATAAACCAATCTGTAAATTGTGCGGGGCATTATAATAAAGGTTAAGCGGGTCGATGTATAATTATATTATGTTCTACTTTTATTGTATATTATTTTTAGATATGATATTTCAATTTAATTATAATATGCATATTTATTAAATAAATATAGCGGTCTAACTATTAAGCATTAATCTTTATGTATATTCATGGAAAGCTGAATCACTGGAGCTCAATGTTAGTATATTATAAGCTTCATATAACTTTTCATTTTAATTAATGATAATTAGTTTTTAACTAAATGTCACGGGAGATGAACCTTAAATGTGTTCCCTACACATAATTTTCAGTTGGTATACCATAAAACTCGGCAGGGGTAACATTCCTAGCGCTAACCAATATTTATCTCCCTCTCATTTTTTTTTTTTTTTNATTTTTTTTTTTTTTTTATTACTAAAATAGAAATATTGTGATAAATTTATACAAAATTAAAACACTCAATTTGAAAAGAGAAAAAAAAATCTCTAAAATGATTACACCTTATTGACAGACATTCATTGATTAAAAGTTAATTAGCGGAGTATATCCCTTGTTTCGACTAGCAGCTTGTATTAATTATTTATTTGTAATGAAAACATGGTATTTGTTCACCTTGTATCTCTCTGTTTCTCGTCTAGCTTAATTAAAATTAAAAAAAAAAAATGTTATTTCAACTAGCACACCTTTCAACTTTAATATGAAATCATCATCAAACATTATTAGTTAATGAATATATTGACTAATAACTACATAACAATGATTTTTTAGGAATTTAGTTATATCAATGTGCACACACATGCCAAACCAAATTCCTAACAAAATGACAAATCAACAGATTTTAGCAATTATCTATCTTGTCCGCTGCCCTAACAAACTTTCCAAATAACCTTCTCCTGATTAAGAAAATAAAACTGTAATATCTCTAAAACTAAGAGAAACGACAATAACATAGTTGAAGCTTTAAAAGTTAATTATTGGACTGTTCAAATATTATTAGATACTTAATGAATTCAGAAAGTGATTTCCATTAATTAATACACTGTCATTTATTTCACATATTTTTTTTATTGGAGTTAAAATCAAATGAACTATTTATTATATTCACAGCAATTATACTATGGTTTATATAATCAGTTGATATCTCCACATCTGATAACAATGTTAGGGCAGAAGTAGAGTGGAATCAAATGGGTCGAGTTCAATAATAACTTTCACACTAAGGTAAAACTGTAATACCATTTTAATTATAAAGCTATATATAGCATATTGTTTAAAATTGTTGTATTTTAATTTTCGATGCCAGACAACTGCAGAAGATAAAATATTGCTAATTAAATAATTTTTTTTTTTTGTTCTAAAATTAAAACAAGTTTCCCAAATAATACTTGAAAGATCATGTTTTAAAAAAATAGTAATCAAGCTAACTTTTTCTAGCCATAAATTTATATATAAGTAGACTTCCTAGTAACATTTAACATTTATGTCTGGTTAATATTACATAAACATAACAGTTAGACCGTCATACTTTTTCAACAGATATATATATTTTCAAAGTGAAATGTCACTTATTCTAACAAACAATATAAACAAAGTATGACATTTCACCACATAAATAAACATTTGTATTAAAATAGTATGACAGATCGACTCGCTTAACTTTTTAGACCGCCTCACACAAGAAATTGTGATCCAACATTGATGTTTTCCAATAGTTCACATTCTAAAAAGAAACCCCATTAATTAATCAGGAGATAATACATATTAGTATACCACACAAGTAAATTTGAAATTATAGATACTAATTATTATATATTATAACTATTTGTAAAGGACATGATAACTAATTTTGTCACTGCAGTTGAATTGTCATACCTACATATAACTGTAGCTGGTAGATTTAGTTCTTAACATCCAAAAAAACTGCCAAATTCAACGGGAAGTAAGACTTGTTTTTGACTGTTGGCCTACCATTCTCCGTTACTTCATTTTTTTTATAACTATTATTAACCATAATTTAATAAAAAAATTCTTGTAATTAACTTGAAGTAATGTGCGGGTACAAGACAACAAGAATGTTATATTTAAGGAAAAATCAACTCATTGTCAGATTGGTAACTGTCACTACAGACACTATATATGATATGATACCTTAATATCCCAGAAAAACTGTATAACCAAATATTAATTGCAACAAGATTTACACTAACAAAAATTCTAAATTAACAAGATACAGCCAAACTAATAATAATTCATTCCCAAACCTTGTGTGAGACTGTAGTTAAGCAGATCGACTCATCATATTTTTCAACAAATTAAAAATATGTACTTACATTATAAAAAATCATACATTTATTTTTATTATTTTTTAGTGACATTACAATTTTAAATTATGTATATCTTTAAAAAAATATGGTTATCTAACCATTCAATATACTTAACATCCTTACTATAATTCTTTTTGGTGCATTACCAAAGTAAATATTCTGCTTTGCTATTTATTTTCAAGAACCAATCTATTTCATTTCAAGTTTCAGTGCAATCTTAAAAAAAAAAAGCATATAATAATAATAATAATTTATTAAGGATATTACTTACTAAAAAATACTCGCCTATCCATCGTGAGCAACCAACCACATGTCAAAATCTCAAAATCTTTAAATATCATACATGTCGTGTATAATATATTAATCTCATATCACATCAACTAGCAAGTATGGGCATATTAACTCGTGTTCACCGAGTACGAGACTCATTACTTAATTAGTATGACTCCATTTTATACAATTTGCCTCTAAAGACTTGTGGACTGTTCACCAGCTTTACCAACTACATTTCCACCTATACAGTAAATACCAATTTTGATCCTGTGTAATGCATTATGATCATAGTAAAATGATAGCCAAGACCAAATAAAAATAAAAATAAAAATAATNACACATGTGTACAAACCCACAAAACAGGTATACATTCAGGTGAGCAATTCAGAACTTATACCCCAATGACCCACCCAAAGATCCATAAATAGCAAAAAGTTCATGTGCAAGAATCTAAATGAACGAGATCTCATTTTAAAAAAAAAAAAGCTAATGCAAGTTATCTTATTTTCATTTCCATCTCATTTGATTTGACCCATTAGCACACCCATAAAATGGTTTTCTGAGTCAAGAAGTAACCTGAAACTTCTCAACTGCAGCACCACACGAAAGCAAACAGCCGAACCATCCGAACGGGAAACCCTTTAGGTTTTCTAACAAACAAATTGCTAGTGCACAACTACCCGACCTAATGACATGATATTACATTCGGCATTTCTGTTTCGTAAAAGTGTGTTCCTGTAATAATACTGTCACTATCAAAGTCTCATAATAGGAAAAAGGCTTGTGCATGTTTTCAGCCGCTTTCTCATCTTCATTACGGTGCAAAAACATCATAATAAGTACCTTTCACGAGGATTTAGCAACAGGGGAAATAATTAATTACAATGTAATAAAAGGAAAGGTACTTTGAGTACAGCTTACTTTATGGGCTTATGGATTAGTAGGTACAAGACAAGGATGTAAAAGATGTTCATGTTTACCGATGAACAGTTGGAACACATTCTAGTTTAAATACTAACAAATGATGGAATATTACACCTTTGTGCTGCTACTTAACCTATTAATAATACATCTCCCTATATTTGGTTTAAGAGTAGTGTTTTTTTTTTTTCTTTAAGAAACAACTTAAGGAAAATTTAGCCTGATTATTATTATTATTATTATTATAAAAAACAATTATACGTTAAACTTACAAGTATCCCATTTGACAGTTATTTCAGTATTATATTTAACACCGGTAAGAGGGGTGTATTTGTAATGGAACTACAAAACCTCAGTGATTTTGGGATATAAACCGTTGTTTTTATTTTTGTAGTTTTCTTGCTCAGTAACAATTTCCTATTTTCTTGTAGTTATACAAAGACAAAGTCAAGATATTAGCTACAGGTGCATAATCAACAATGGGAAAAGTAAATAAACAAATTAACTATAGCGCACACAATTCGCAATATATTGCAGTGTGAAAATTACCTTTGACATTTAAAATGAGATAATGGGTAGATAAACTGAACCTAAAGCCATACCTTTCGGCTGAAGTGTTGAATATCACTTCTATCTCACAAGTCCATGATGATTGTCACAGTTTTGTTCGCATTTGAAATGTGACTGATTTGTAGTATAGATTTGCCATCAGCAACAACATTCACTTCGAGACAAAAAATAAGAGGTGAATATAAGATTCTTCACTTTTACTCAAGAGAGAAAGGCCACTAACAGATTAGAAATTTCCGCTTTCCAATCAAAATATTCCACCAGAGCTTGACGACTACTCATTTTGTGACACTTAATTTTCCACAAAGATGCCAAAAAGTCCAGTCCAGTGCTCTAGGGATCATGATCTCAGCTTCTTTTTGCAGTCAAACATTGAATGATGGTGCTAAACAGAATATGAACCGAAACAACTAAACCACTTGACATACAAGAGCAATGAGGAAAATAAGGGGATTTTTTAGCATGAAACAATTGACGGTTTCAAGTCCTATGTTGAAATATCAGAAAATGTTATATTTATCACAAAACAAATTCTAGTATGAGGCGGTCCAACTTTTAGGCGGGTTGACCATCATACTTTTTCAACAAAAATGAATACTTACAATGGAATGTCATACTTTTGTTTATATAATTTTTTTTAAAGTATGACATTTCAGTTTGGAAGTATGTACATCTGTTAAAAAAGTATGGTTGTTGTAGCCTTACTGTTCTCACAACATATGTTTTACTATTCATGAGAAAGTTGTAATTATCGCACCTATCTCAATCTTTTTTATATGTTATTCGGATCATCCAAGTGCTTAGGGTAAGGAAAAAAATCGCACAAAAAAGAATATTTTTCTCGATTATCACTGTCCATAGACAGATTACTATATCCCTATTTTTAGTAACTCAATGATTAATCAGTTTTTCTGAACCCATCATATACATATTCTGAGAAGACACTCATGAACCTAATCAAACTATAAGAGCCATACAGGTCCTTGGAAAATTCAGATATATTTCGTTAACTCAAACTATGTTCTCCCCACGATCAGTTATATACATTTAAAGTTTGCACTCCTCTTATTTGCTAAGACCAGTATTAATCTTATTCGCAAAGACCAAGATTTGCTTGTTTCCAGAGCAGGTGTTTATCCAGGAATATGGCAATTATATACTATGGAGCTTTGTATCTAACAACACAGCCTCTCAGTAGCACAATTCAGAACCCTATCTGAATTGGCTTCGACTCCATAACACGGACCTTTATGTAAGACCCAACATTAGATTTCACTTGACTCGAATGTTCTAAATGAGCTCCAAATTTTTGGATTATAATATAACGTTCATAGAGTTGCATACTGAAAATTAGTGGTGTTACATGACAATAATAAATAATGTCATATTTTTAAGGAAAACAGAAACAAAATAAATTTGCTTTGGGACATAATACAACAGAAACATAACTCATAAATTCAAAAACAAACCTCTCTAATTTTATCTCTATTGTTCTAGTGTTTGTTAGCATGGTAGCCTTCTCGTGTTGCTTTACAAATTCATTTTTTTTCTAAGAACACATATAATGTGCATTCCATCACTGGTGTATGAACTTACACAGCTGACAATTCAACTTCCTGAGAGCAAGGCCGATATGCAACAAAAGTGAAGTCGTTTGAGAATGAACCGGGGTTAAAGCACGTGATTCCTGTATACTTGAATGCCTTCTGCTCACTTTTATCCCCTAATACTATCTGCATAGAGTTGACCCAAACAAAAAACAATACAACAACAAAATCATTATCTTTATTGTCAATTAAATTTTTCTTTTCTTTTTCCAAATTGTAAGTACAGAAAAGAACCTTACCGTATGCGGAGTTGGATATAAATGAAGGCAGTGATCAAAATTCCAGATGATTGGTTGTACACTCAAAGGCAGAGGGCACAGATGGCTTTGATGTGTTATAGTAGCAACAAGCTGCATAAGTAAAATAATGATTAAGTATGCATCGACCTTCGACAATTATTCCAGCAGTTGAAACCTAATTTCGGAAGGTCGATCTTCGACCTTCGACAATGACTCACATGCTCAAAAGGATCACTTGTTTCTTCAGCTGAAGGAGGCATCAGACATGATCGACGCATTCTGTAAAGCATGTCTTGACGGAAAAATACAATTTCTTGGGTATAATATTTAATTCTGGTTTTGGACACAAAAGATTTCTCAGTTAACCAATATAATAAAACATAAAATAAAAGAATAATTATAAACAACACACGTGCACATACACTCATCGGTACACGGCACTAATTAGGCTACTAGAGATTTTGTTTGACAAATATTCAGTAAAAATGACCTGCAAGGATTACTTAAAAACACTGCATTTGGAATGTGATTTTCAAGCTCTTCGATTATGTATTTTGGTAGTGAGCATCTAGGCAGAACATTTGAAGGTCCTGGATATCAAGAATAATGCTTAGTGCCACATGATGAATATACGTATCAAGGAAATAACTGCAAATATTCAACTCAAATTACCTATATCATCAGGACCAGGAATAAACAGAAATCTGCTGTTGTCTTTAAGACGCTGATGAGATGCTATTATTTTTCCTAGCTTCCCAAACTGAGATCTGTGAGCAACACCTTCCACCATATATATTTTCTCCATTTCCCACAATAATAATGAACAAAACAGTAAAGAAAAAGAGAAGAAAAGGGGAAAAAAAGAGGATTTATTACCTGATGCTTGAGTAAGAACTAAAAGAAAGGTTACATGGACGAGAACAGAAGTTTCCCATGAAAACAAACAGAGAGGGAACGATATTTTCATTCTCATAACCACCGAGGATCATCTCGAGTTTATCCATGGTCTTCATCAATGAACGAGAATGAAGAATATCAGTATATCGTTTTTGAAGAAATGGGAAAGATCACATAATCAAGTAGTGGTGGTCAGGAATAATTACCTCCTCGTTGTCCAGCCAAATATCAGAGAGTATCACAAACATGTCGTTGACAGCACCTCTTTCCAGCTCTACAAGTCTCAGCTGTAAGAAAGTGTCAAGGATACTCGATTAATGTTTCATTTGTAAGCTTTCAGAAGTTTAAAGTAGTAATATTTGCGAAGGATACAGTCTCTTCTTTAGTAAGCGATCCGCCACCAAAAAAATCAATCCCAGAAAATGTCGAAACTGACTTTTCTCGGTCCTCTAATGGTGGAAATCCACATGTTTTCACCTGCAGTGACAATAAGTCAGAAATATACATAATACATGTATCACCTGATGATATAGGTTTATGATTCTTTATTTACAATATAAAGCAGTACAAGCTCATGAAAGATACTGAAGAAAATGAGTTTTCGAGAAGAATATAGCAACAGCCTTCTTCCCAGTGTAAGTAGTGTATCAGGGGGTCAACCTGATTCAGCGAAAAATATTGAAGACTAACAAAACATGTTAAAGGTTCTTAATTCTTTGTTAATCAGACCTAAGCAAGTAAAAGGAAATTAGTGTAAATTAGTGAATGCAATATTCTGAGCATCAGACTATGAAAGAATCAAGTTCAAAAGCACTACACGAAGGATCACAATTCACAACACTGAACAAGTGACATAGGAAACTTAGGATAACCAGAGAAGCCATTCGTAGCTATTTGAGTGCTGCTCGGCACATTGTAATGCTACAGCCTATGTATTAGCAATCTAAATTACAAAGAGCTATTATGTTGGCAAGGTACATGTGTACCGGTTAAGCTTATGAGTCCTTTCATGGTCTAAGAGTTCAACAAAAAACAATCCCAAACCTGAAAGATTCCATTCAGAAGCATCTCGCCTTCTGCTAAGATTATAGTGTTTTCTGCAAAGAAACCCGTCGTAATTCTGTAATTCATGTTAAAGAAAATGCAGAAATTCGTGCTTCATTTATTTGACATCTGAAAACGATGTCACCCAATCATATCATGAGCTCATATGGTGACAATATGAATTTTTAATGAATAAGCACGGATTGAAAAACACAGATATAAACAGCAATTTGCTATGAACTTGTTCCTGAAGTTATGTTTCCTGGAAACAGTTTCTAGCGTAAGATAAGAGACAGACATGGGTGAGAAACAAAAGATAACAGGCAAAGGAATGAGGCCATCTCCAAATCATGTTGCAGCCCACCAGAAAATATGCAATAAGCAAACAGGGAATAATAGTAAAGGATATTGCATTAGACATATCAACTTCAACACAAGCTGTTAAGTCTTCCAAGAAGAAATGACCATCCTCCAGCTGAGAGATGAGACCCATCACCCATCTCTTTCCTGTCTGACCAACTAGAGATTGAATTTGGGATATCTGAAAAAGAGAAGATATGTCGATACATAAGCTAAAATAATTTATTAAATTTGATATTGTGGAACGAGTAAGGACATAAATGCAGATCATGTCGGTGGTGAAAAATAAGGAATACCTGGCAGCTTCCGTATTCAGAGATATTGCTACCAAACACGGGCCTAGAAAAATGGGGGTCACGAGAGAGCCTCTGGGACAACAAAAGAAACCTATCTCTGTATAATATGACCTTTGCAGAAGCATCACCATGAATTGGAAGCTTGCCTGTGTGTCTGCAAGAGTGGCATGTTACATCAGATGGTCAAAAAACTAAAAGTGTCGAATGCATATTGCAAAACAACTATTTCAACAAGTCAATCACTTAATTATTTAATGAAGTTGAGTGTTATAAAACAACATCAAGAGGATTTGACGAACACATTAACTAGGATCAGTAAATATACTTAGTTAAATTATTTAAGCGCATTACATGTAAGTAGGAGAAATACTCCTAACAAACAAAGTTAGGTACTCAAACAGATGCATTATAATGAACAAACTCACTGACTTATCGCTACAAGAAGTATCAACTCATTCCTCCTGCTTTTTCATGCTTTCTGCAGTCATTTATCAATCTGATTTTGCTCAAATGGTGATATATCATTATAGTGGGCAAAACCAAACAGTGGAAATTCCTATCACAAGTCAAAGTATCTCAAACCCATGCATGGGAATTCACAAAATACCACCTTTCTGCTTTCTCTTTGCACAAATGCCACTTCTGGTCATAATGACGGTTATTTCAGTCATTTTTCAGGAGAAAAGAGGCATTTAAGAAAATTTCCTAACCTGGTTCCTTCACTAATCAACATCATTTGTGTATAAAAAAAAAATGAACTTTAGTTTAATTATAATAATAACAATTTCAAAAACAAGAGAGGAGTGTGTATGACAGCCAAAATTTTTAAGTTGCTTTGTTTCCCCCATGACGAAGTTAAAAATTAAACTAAAGCGAGATGTTTCAACATTTCCAAAAGGCACCCTCTTTTCTAGCATTGATAAACGTCACAGTTTAAAAAAAAAAAGTTAAAAAAAACATATGCGTACGCAATGCATTAACTACAAGAAGTCACTGCATACTTGTGAAACAATTTCTTGATTGGATCGTATCGGAATTTCGGGAAATCAAAAGCATCAATTATTCTCAAAGCAGATGCGCCGGACCCAAATCCACTGCTCGTGGGACCCTCCTCCACAGCAGCCTCAGCTTCCAGCAAAAGTCCTACTACTTTCTGCACCGGCTCCTTATCCAGTATCGAGGATTTCACTGAAAACCATAAACAAAAAAGAACCCAGCAAAGATTGATTCAAAAAATGCAATCTTTATCTGCAAAAAACACAGTAAGTATATAAAAAAAGTTAAAAATAAATTTACGTGATATATGATGAAGCTCGTCCAGGAGGAGATCGAGGGCTTCGTCCTCGGCGTCAGGAAATCGGCCGATGAAACCTAGGACTTCAGATAGGGCTTCGATTTTTAGGGTGTAACCCCTCATTTTGAATTTTCTTTGCACTTTATTTCTCATTGTGCTCATCTTTAGCCGCTCTTCTATTTCTTTCCCTTCCTTTTTTCCTCTGTGTTTTTTTGCCGTAGTTTGCTCGAGCTTGGAGGTGGAGAGAGTGACGGTGTGGGTGTGCGATAATAATGGAGGTAGGCGGCAATGTGAAAATGGCGGGAACCAATGGCTTTGATGACTGGGCTTGGGATTTTGGCTGGCTGATGCTATATCTTGGGCCTGGAGGCTCATATTTTCAGTCTGCTAATGGGCTTGATTTTGTTCGGATGATCACTGGATGTTTGCTAATTGGCTTTTCTTGGGCTAATCCAGTCATCCAGTAGTGGTTCGATTTAATAATTTATTATTTTTCAGAGATAATTCATTTTTAATTTTCTATAACAACTTTTGTTCAAAGTTGTTTTGCCTTCTATTTATTTTCTGTATGAAATTATTATCATTATATTTTAACATTTGACGCACACTTCTTTCAACCTATCACAAGTTTGGGAACAAAGTCTGGATATCGATTAGAAAACATCAAATGTGTATTACACTTTAGTGAAAATAACAATTGGCTTTAGTTGATACTGTGTCTTAAGGAATTGATATATATTAAAAGTTTAACATGAACTCTTTTATTGATAGACTTGATAAGCCCTTGAAACTTAGATATCAAGTTTTTTAAATTTTATCCTCATATCTAAACATCATATCATGTGCACACACATGTACAAATATGTATTGATATAATGACTCAAACTAAGTACAAATTTACCATGAAAACCAATCAATTTCTCGTAAGATTTTCCTAGAAACATGTATCTCACTTTCATAAGGGAGGAAAACCATATTTAATAGCAATATCCATTATACATTAGTTGACAAAACATCATAATCATCAAAAAAAACAATAGGAAAGAAGAACAGAACAAGACTTCTTAGTTAAGTCAAAGCACACAATAAAAAACACGGCATCAAATCATTGGTCGGACAACTTGAAAACACACAGCGGTGACTCCCAGTAGAAAACGCGCACCAGCACGCACACACCCGTGCGTGTATGTGTGTGTTCTTCTCTGGCCCTTTTCTAACTTTCCCACCTTTTTCGAGTGAGCAACTGGGGAAGAAAAGTCCCTCCTTAAAGTAATTTTTTCTTGTTTGTCCAAGTCTTTATTTTTGCGAAGCTTTGTTTAACATCTCATCACACACGCACCAACCCTTTTGCCCTGTTGACCGGAATTTCTTCTTTCGCTACTGTAAAACGTTTGACGCGCCCCCTCTATTCGCGGGTCGTGGTCCCTTTATCCGATTGATTTGTTTATCAATTTGTTCCTTTGTATTTGAATCAAGATTCAACCTCTTTTTTGGTTTGTTTTCTCAAAGGAGTGTTTGGGGACTGGTGTTGATCACAATGCTTATTGCCCGCTGGCCGGCCGAACTTTTTTAGTCTGTATAAAAATCGAGCAAGAACAGGTCTGCTGTTATGTTGTTTTCATCTCTTTGTCTTAAATGGGTTTTGTTTGTTTATGTGTTTGTAAGTGGGTGACACTATTGGTTGGGAAAAAAAGGCGTCTTTTGGAGAATTCGAGCTAGTATACTCTTCTCGCATCATGTTTATTTATTTATTCATTCGGGGCTTCATTTATTGATTCTTACAGTTAATTTTGTTTCTCCCTTTCTCTTGCAGTTTGATTGAAGCATCTCTTGGTGTGTGTTTGGCAATTATGTCACAAAATTACATCAAATGCTGTATTCTTTTTGAGCTAATATGAGCTGTCAATCAGTTGTTTATTAGATAAAATGAGCAAAGGGAACTAGGTGGCAGCATTTATTCCATTTATAAATTTAAGAAATTTCAGCTCATTTGCAGACACATGACAAAAAAAAAATTCAATCTTTATGCAAAGAACATTGCAATACTTTAGGTTCGAATTGATTTGGAACCATTCTTTTGATTGGATATTTCGTGCTGATGTGTTCAAGGAATGGATCCTTCTGAAAAAGATAAGACACCTATGTTACCGGCCACGAGCATCAAATCAGACAACCAAAGTGGAAGGACTAAAAGTAGAAATTTCTTAACAAAGGCAAGAAGTGCATCAACATCTGTTCATTCTGACCATTTGGATTCTTATGAATATACAAACACACCCGCGGGGAACACGGGCCCTTTGAAAACCGAGAGGCGAACTTCAATTGTACAAAGAAGTGGTCCTCTGTATTTGACCGGTAACAATGAGGTCATCTTTCAGCCACCCCGACACTCACTCGATCAAAAAGCTGGCGAGCCCAAGTTACAGAAGTATACGTCCTTTGATGTGCATGATAGTAACGAGTGGCAAACGGATAACTACGAGGGCAAAAACGAGAATTTACTGAAGTCGGGGCCATTGGGAATGTGCGATGATCCTTACTGCACGATGTGCCCGACGTATTATGATGTCAAGGGGCGCCAGAAGCAGTCAAGAACATCGGAAATATTTGACACTACGGTATATTATGTTTTTTCTTACAATTCTTTTATAGTTGAGTTTAAACTTACGCATACCATAATAGTGCCATAGACAAAGGCAGTTGGCATAAAACTTTGGTGGCTGACATATGATGAAAATTTCACATCTGATATGATTACATTTTTCTCTGCTCAAGCTATCTCTAAGTTTTAATGGATGATGGGGGTCATTGACTTATCATGGTCCCCGCTCAAGGTATCTCTAAGTTTTAATGGGTGATGGGGATCATTGACTTATCATGGTCTTTATTTATTAGGTTCAAAGTGGTTGATTGATAAATCTTTTTTCATTTCTGCTTTTCTTTCCCATAAAGAATAGTTCTGTATATGGTACTCGAGGCTATAGTTCCTAAGACGCCATACAGGCTACAGCATACAGTTTGATCAGTTGGTGAATTAAGTTGCCTTACTTGCCTAAGGTTGGAAGATGTCCATGGATGCTTAATGGTCGCCACCTGTCGATATGAATCCGATTTGGGTTCTTATATCATCAAGCTGCTTAATACATTTATCTGTATATATATATATATATTTGTAAATTCGTTCTTTAATGTGGTTTCCAGAAACCGCATCTTATTAATACTTGTGATTACCGCATTTTGCTTCATAGTTAGTCAATATACTTATATGTGCTGCCTGAATATTTTTCACCTTATTTGCAGTTACAAAATATGTTCTATGGAGATGCAAGAAGCTTTGCAAAGAGAATGGGCTCATTCTTCCAACCATATATTCCGGGAGTTATGAATCCTCATGCAAAAATTGTTCACCGGTGGAACAAATTCTTTGTGATTTCATGTTTGTTTGCAGTATTTTTGGACCCATTATTCTTCTTTTTGCTGTCTGTGCAAAAGGTATTATCTGTTGTTGAATGTTGTTCCAAAACATGTGCTTACACTAATGCTCATACCAATTTAACAGTATCTTCATTTCTAAACGAGGGCAGAGTCCTTTTTTCGATTTTTTGTCAACCACCTCCCGTAAAATTGCTGCATAAAATTTTCACCTATATTCCGAAGGAGGTTGATGATAGACCTCAAACTCCTCAAATGCAATATCATTTTTTTTTTCAGGATAATAAGTGCATAGTATTAAATTGGCCCATGACAACAACAATCGTGGCTTTAAGAAGCATGACCGACTTTATTTACTTTCTTCATATGCTCCTGCAGGTAGCTAGATTTTTTCCTGGTCTTGTTTACAAACTTTCTTTTGTAGCCAGCTTATTGATTCATTTTTACTATGTTATGATTGTTTGTTTATTCTGCTTCGCAGTTTAGGCTTGCTTATGTTGCTCCTGAATCCCGTGTAATGGGAGCTGGAGAGTTAGTGGATGACCCCAAAAAAATTGCCCGGCATTATCTTTTTGGATATTTTATCCTCGATTTCTTTGTCGTGCTGCCCCTTCCACAGGTAAGCTAACATTTTAGTAAAGTTCCTTTGTTTATTTATTCTTTTTACTAGTCTCATTAATTTATAATAAAAAAAATCACTTGCTGATCCCAGTTTTAAAGAATAGTGCTTATTACTAATACTGCAACTGAGCTTTTAGGCTAACTAAAAAAAAACCCAGTTATCCTAAATATAGATATCCCCTTAAAAAAATCAAGTTTTTGGAAGTGAGGTTAAACCTTGTGTGGGATTTCTGGTGTTTATTCCCTTCTTTAGCTCACGAGTAAGCTACTGACATCGGTATTAATTATTTTATGTAGATCATTATATTATTAGTGTTACCAGATTCTATGGGAGCAACTGGTGCAAATTACGCGAAAAACCTTCTGCGTGCAGCAATTCTTGTTCAGTATGTTCCCAGGCTATACAGATTTGTACCTTTGCTAGCCGGGCAGTCCCCCACTGGACTCATATTCGAATCCGCATGGGCTAATTTCATCATAAATCTCCTCATGTTCGTCTTGGCTAGTCATGTTGTGGGCTCGTGCTGGTACCTTTTCGGTCTGCAGGTCTGTTTTTATCTATATTTTTACTCGTTACGAGATAATTGCGAAACTACCCTGAGGTTTGTAGTATTTCTCAAACACCCAAACTGACCTATAAAAAATTACAAATACTTTCGAACCTGTTTGTTGGTCCTTTTTCAAATAAAAAGTGAGCCAAGCTTTATGGGTAGTGATTTAGCTCAAATTTTATATATTGACATTTATTTCTTGATTTTAATTTTGTGTAGAGAGTGAACCAATGCTTTCGAGATGCCTGTCACCATGGATCTGGCATTCCACGATGTATGGAATTTATCGACTGTGGCCATGGAGATAATATTGAAGAGTTTAAAAGTGATCCTACGTGGAACCAATGGCTTAACAACAGCAATGCAACTGCGTGTTTCGATCAAAATGGTTTTGCTTACGGAATTTATCAAAATGCTGTTGCACTAACCACTGAACAAAGCCTAGTGACTCGATATGTGTACTCGTTATTTTGGGGGTTCCAGGTACCCTTGATATTTTGTTTTTTCTTTATAATTATAATGTGGACTCTTGAAGAAGAACGACTCTCAACTTGTAACCGGACAATTATGAGTATTTTTCAAAAATCGACATGCTTTTATTGGAAACCCGAATTTTAAAATTGACGTTATTTTTTTTTTTTTTCCTTTTCATGTTATATGAAGCAAATTAGTACCCTGGCTGGAAATCAGGTCCCGAGTTACTTTGTGTGGGAAGTTCTTTTCACAATGGCCATTATCGGTGTGGGCCTCTTGCTTTTCGCTCTCTTGATTGGAAATATGCAGAATTTTCTCCAATCTCTTGGTCGTAGGTAATGTGATTCAAAATGCTTTGATAATGTTTCTTATTAGTGCAGTTATATGAAATTGTTAGGCTTGGGCTAGTAAATTTTTATTTCCTCGATTGAGAAAAAGGATTATAATATAAAGTATATTTATTCACTGAATTTTGTGCCCATAGGAGGTTAGAAATGTCTTTAAGGCGACGTGATGTCGAACAGTGGATGAGTCATCGTCGCTTGCCGGAAGGATTGAGAAGGTTACTCCGCCATTTTTTCTCTACCAACATGAGAAAATTGTTAGATTTATTTATTTAGTTTTTAAATATTTCTTTATATGTATGTATTGCTTTAAGGGGCTAGTTTTGTGCAGGCAAGTTCGAGAAGCAGAACGTTTTAATTGGGCAGCCACACGGGGTGTGAACGAGGAAATGTTAATGGAAAATCTTCCGGAGGACCTTCAAAGAGATATACGTCGACATTTATTTAAATTTGTCAAGAAAGTAAGTTGGCATTAGAAAATTATGATGATTAATGCTGCTAAAAACAATTAAAAACAGAACCTACATTCATTTTTCTTCTTTTATGAACTCTGTTTTTTCCTTCTTTTGATTCTAATTGCAGGTCCGAATTTTCCAAGTGTTGGATGAACCTATTGTAGATGCTATATGCGAACGCCTGAGAACAAAAATATACATCAAAGAGAGCAAAATCATTTACCGTGGGGGACTTATCGATAAAATGGTTTTCATAATCCGAGGAAAAATGGAGAGTGTTGGGGAGGATTTAACCGTTCTTCCTTTGTCTGAAGGAGACGTTTGTGGAGAAGAACTCCTCACTTGGTGTCTCGAACATTCATCCGTAAACAAAGGTTCAAAACTTTCACAAAACCCATTGCTCTTTTTGGTTCCGTTTAGTTACAGAAAAAGGAAAGAAAAAAAAAAGGCGAAATCTCCTATAAATTGCAAATAGTCGTTTGGCTTTTTTTTTTTCCCCATGATACAGGTTGCTCTCTGATTATGATGATTATACGAACTGAAAGCTCAAAACAAAACATCCAAGTATGATTTTACTATAAAACATCTTTTATTTTGATATATTTCTGTTTTTCAGATGGAAAGAGAATTAGGATACCAGGACACAGATTGTTAAGCAACAGGCTCGTAAGATGCTTGACAAATGTAGAAGCATTCGTACTTCGAGCTGCGGATCTCGAGGAGGTTACTAGTCTTTTCGCGAGATTCTTGAGGAGCCCTCGCGTTCAAGGGGCCATTAGGTAATTGTCATTTACATTTATGGTAAAAAAAAAAAGATACGTAAAAATCAATTTCAATGCTCGTGCAGAGTAAATCGATACCATTTGAATTGCAATATTCGTGGTTTTTGCAACTTTGTACCATTAGATAGTAATTAGTCGTGTAAGGTAAAAAAAACACACTCACGAAAATTGTGGTTATCATAATTTGTGACAGATATGAGTCTCCTTACTGGAGAGGGCTTGCAGCTAGAAGAATTCAAGTTGCATGGAGATACCGGAAAAAACGGTTGAGTCGAGACTCATTGAGCCCCACACAACCATCCTTCTAGAAGCCTCACATATACTTAGTGCACATATGTTACTTTTTCCTTTTCTTTTTTTTTTCCCATCTTTTTTCTTCTTTTTGTGCATAATGTAGCATTGTTACATACCTTAGGAACAGGAGTAAGATTTGCCTAACTTCGAAAGGATTATTTTCGTCTAAATCATATTTTACGGAAAAAAAAGGATTGATTTTGAAAACTGCCCATTTTGCCTAATAAACAAATGAATGAAATATAATCTTGGTGAGTGACAAATGTGTGTTAGGTGAATATCTGTTATAAATGCTTTAGTCTGTGCATGTGTGCTTCTGTCTGATAAGTTAAGGCACCAAACAGCTGTTTTTGCAGCAATAAGGAAATTGTGTTATTGTTATTTAAGTGTTTCAAAATTTAAGTTGTGTACAGAGGTATCTCAGCTGAAGCTCTTTTTTTAAAAAGGACAGGTGAAAGTGCTGTAAAGCCTGTAATAGTTTGACAGAAAGAGTTGGCCACAAGAGTTAAGGTTGATGCTTTCAAGTTCCATCTACTCTGTTTTAGTTGCCCCTTTTTTTATTCACCTCATTAATTAATATGAAAAATAACGAGAGAGAGAGAGAGAGATTTGAAAAAAATAGAAGAGGTTTTGTTTTGGAGGCTTTAAATTTGGGTTATGAATTCTGAAAAATTCAATCTAATGCCGTTGGATCAGATTTGCCTCGAATTCCCAAAGAAAATGTAGAAAATCCCGTTCGTAGGATCGAATTGGCCGCGAATTCCGCAAAGAAAATGTAAGAACTTTTAGAAAAATTCGATCCAGGGCTCACCAGTAGGATTGAATTTGTCGCAAATTCTCAAAGCAAATGCAAGGCATCACAAAAGGTTTATCAAGGAAAATTTTCTTGAAAATTGTTGTCATTGAAAAAAATTATAATTCTCCAAATTCTTAATAAAGTTAAAAAAATACATTATTTAATACTACCTATTTTTTTTAATAAATGTCATTTTGGTTTTATCAACAATTAGCCAAATAAATGACGTTTTAGATCTTTTGTATATATTTTTCCATTATTACCCTTATCTAACTAATAAATACACTACGTCTTTTCATATTCACTCTTCATTTTTTCTCAAAGTATCTATCTCTATCCTCATTAATAAGGGTTATTATTGACAAAATGATTATTCTTAATTATTGTTCAACTTCTCAAAATGACACTTATTAAAAAAAGAAGGAGTAATAAGTATCTTGAAAATTGGTCTTATTTGCTTTCTGAGGTCATATGATTCAAGTAGTGTATATTATGCGTGAACCCACAGGTACATTAATAGTTTGACTCAGCTAAGGCCCATTAAATGTTTCCTACGTATGAAAGGCCCAACCAAATGAATACAATTCAGGCTAAAGAAATCCTTTCCCCCCATAGTATTAATAAATCCAAGTGAGTTCATGATTTTAACAATTGGAGGTAACAGCATGTGTAATGATTTGGGTCTAATTTTGCTTATGTAGTATGTAAATAGACTTAATCTTGAATGACATGGACAAAAATATATAAAAGTAACCAAATTGACTCCAATACAAAGAGATTATGTCTCTACTTGGGTCTAAAATAGACTTAAGGGTAGACTGAGTCTTTTTTTCTTATTATCACATCAGCACAACCCAGTCTATTTGCATTTGTATTGAAGAATTTATTTTTCTAGACTGTGTTTATTTCCTACGTGGCATGTATATTTTCTTTTAATGGACCCAAAGTATTATAGGTGCTCTAATAAACAAAATAATTATATCTACAATTAATGTACACCGGTAATAAAATTAGAATTAAATTTCAGTATCCTTAGTTAGGCTTGCCATTGGTTTAACTATAATTTATCTATAATGATTAGGAAAACATATATTTAATATTGACATTAGATAATTAAGGAGATCAAATAAATTACAATGACATTATTGGCGATTAGGAGTACAATAGTTTTGAAAGGTAAACAACCCCAAATTGGTAAATTGAAAAGATTAAATTAACTACATAGAGTACTAATAGTATACACATGATACATATATTTAATTGTCATCGTTTAATTGAAGAATGTAATATAGCCTATGGTGTAAATGGTTTTTATGACTTAAAACCTAGCAAAGTTTAATAGCTTATAAGATTGAACAAAATTAATTGAAATTGTCAATTTGATGATTAAATATGTGTCTTTGAAGTCTGGGTTCATTATGGAGCCAAAATTGATTACTATTTTATTTTTCCACGGTTGCCTTTATTTTCATCTACAATCAACCAAAAAAATACTAATTCTTCAATATAGAATCATTAACTTTCAATTATTCAAGAACATCCAAATTACTATCATAATTACCCAAAGGGACATCCAAAACTTTATTACACCAAATATTCTTTTAAGTACCTATGATCATGCATGATGTATGTATTATTGAAAATATCACAATTAATTACTTAATCAAGAAATGTATTTTATTGATTTATCGTTTTTATAAAATAATTTCATTAAAAACTAATCCGAAAATTCTCAATATTGAGAGGGCTATGGACAAGTGAAGAGTTGGACCAAAAATAGGTGCAAACTTTGACTTCCTTTTAGAGATTTTAATTTTGACCTTGCCAAGTTTTTGCCCTTTATCATTCTTGAATGGTGTGTACAATTAATTGCATGGCAAAAGTATCAAAACAGCCAAAGGGGCAGCCCATCTGCCCCCGCCGGGAAATTTTTTCCGGCGGCCAGCGACCAGCATTAACTCCGTTACCATCCCTAAAATAAAAGCTCCAAACTGTACACACCTGTGGCCATGAGTTATCAATTTGTATCCACCAATAACTACTAGCACTAGTCCATTTTAATGTCTCCTTTTTTTTTAAAAAAAAAAATCTATTTTACACTATATATATACCTTTTTTGTGTGGGGAAAAATATTTTCTACTTTTTTCTTTTTCGATTTTTTCAAAATTAAATATTGGAAAAATAGACGGAGTAGATGAGAGAGGAAGTGCACGTTGAAGTAATTTCCAAGGATCATCAAATAAAGATCACATTTATTGCGATTTATAAATTCGCTGAGAATAATTTTTTCTTTTCCGCTCTTTCTGGAAATGAACTATTGACATAATGAATAAAAAAGAACATATATTGATCTCGTGTTAACATAATTATCAATCCACAAATATTTTTATGAAACGGCCTCATCGTTAGTTGATTTGATTCATCATTTTTTTCTTTAAGTAAAAGTAATTACTTATACTATAAAATATAATTATTTTTATTTATGTTGTTTCTCAAATATGACATTTAAATATACGAATATATTAAAAAAATTATATATCAATATATGGTTGCATTTAAACTTGTCTAACAAAAGTCTTACTATTATCATTCTCATCTCTTACTTTATAGTGATAAAATGCTTATATATTCCCCTTTTGAAGGAACAATTGAAGAAGTAATCACATATAATTTCAAGAATTTAAGTCTCTCACTTGAATTAAATTAAGTCTTACTATTATCATTCTTATTCTTACTTTTAAATGAGAAAAGACTTGCACATTCCCCTTTTAAAAAAAACAGTAGTAATCACATACAATTTCATTCTATCCCTTGAATTAAATGAACCACAATACACATAACAATGCTATAATCAAAATAAAGAGACCAAAAAACAAAATTAAAAAGACCCCACTCTTGGAAATGAAGAGTTGAATGACACTACAAATTAAAGTAGCTAAAAAATATAATAGAATTTGAAAAAGCTTCAAACTTTTATCTCTTGAATTTGGTTATAATGAATGTAATTGTATTACAAAAATTTCCAACCTCCTCTTTATTGCACCCTCTTTTCTCTTCACCGTGTGATCAGAAAAAATCATAAATCCGTCGGTTACAAGTTTACTTAAACCTTTTCCATTCCACCACCACTGCCAGGTACATACATACATATATAGATAATGTACAATCATAACAACTTGGATTGGTCGGTCTAATACATCAATATGTTGATTTGTGGATCTTTGTCATTTCATGTCTTTGAATCTAAGAATGATATTTTATTATGAAAATAATAAAAATTGTACATATCTATTATATTAACCACATACATATTGATATACAATATATTTTATCATACAAATACAATCTCATTCTTCTGTCTATAGTGGATATGAGTTAATATAACCACCAATTGATGTGACAAAAAATTAACATAATCGTGTATAATGAATATGTGGTTGAAAAAATCAGAATTTTGTTTTATGTGACTTTTGAGCACATCTTATTGCGTCCATCAGTATATGAGCAATTTTGATCTACTATACAATAGTTAGTAAGAAGTGTAATTTCAACATGACATTGTTCAAATATGAACTCGAATCGACTATATGTAATCAAGTTCTCACAAATCTTAATTGAATTGAATATGAAAAGAGTTCGAATATAGCTTTACATGTTTTTCTTTTTAAATATTACATCTCATTGAAAAAAAAAAAAAAAGAAGAAGAAAATTCAATGAACCATCTAGAATCAGCACACATATTGCCTATGCGACAATTTAATAATTAGATGGTTCTATATATTATACCTTTTTTTTTTCTAACAAAAGTGTACATTGTAAATATCATTTTTTTATTTAAATTATTTTTTTACATTACCAATTAGTACGAAAAATTATGACGATTTAACGAGTATCATACTTAACGATTAGGTCAGCCTAACAACAACATAAACAAGAAGAAGTATCCATTAGTCTCATTTCCCATTTTCTCCATCTTTTATGTACATATACACATACATACACGTATACTATACATATAGGTAGAGCTTAGTTGTAGTAGCTACTAGAGAGAAATAGTAGTGTCATTAATATTTGTTATTGTTATTAATATTATTATGGTGGGTTGGCCTTTTGCATTTTCTCCCCTCTCTCTCTCTCTTTTTACCACCAATCCCCACTCTTAATTACTCCACACCTTCCTCTACCCACCCTCCAAAGATTTCTCTTCATTTCCAATTTTCTCATCTCACAAAACACACACACATATATATATATACAAAAGCTGTATATATATATAAATCTTGAGAGACGTTACAAATACTTAGATACACACACTGCCAGAAATGAAAACATGGCTTGTGCCTTGACAGATGCTTTCTTCACCACCAATTTTAAAATTTTTTCAAACAAAAAAATAAAAATATATATATAAGAAAAAAAAAAAAAA